TGTTATTGCTCAGGTTATAAAACAACTAGCCCAGGGACACTTCTTTAGAAAACTGGGAGATTGTTCTGCCATTCTTCTAGACAACATATGAGACAATTTTGGTTCTTAATGGCCAATTCAACACCCTAGGCTCACTGCTATCTTCATTAAGATACATACAGATGAAAGTACCTAAGAGAAAGGGTTTGAGACACAAACAGTTAAACTTAGCAAATATACTGCTGCCTCTTTTTCAGCAGTATATAAGTAAAGATGTGGATAGACTAACTTCTATAAAGTGCCAGGAAGTGAGAAGTGGATAAACTTTATATTGTCCAAGGTAGAAGTGGAAAAACATCATCTGCCTCAGGTTTATCACAGCTGCAGTTAAGACCCTGACAAGCACCATAGGTCATTCAGTAAGACACATGTGCAGATACTGTCATCTACTCATACAAGCCACGTCTGCTTCTGTTTTGCTTTCCATAAACTCAGCAAATTACAAGAGAAAATAAAAAAAAATATAAAATTGAACATTCAGAGCATGCTTAACTTTCAGAAGGAATTTCTGAAATTGCTTCCAGCAAGATACATTTTAAGGAGGGGAAGAAGTTACTGGCAGACAAGTACTTTCCAACAGCTGAGAAACCATTGTTTTAAATGTTGTAGGGCAATGACATAATACATTATTATGCTTTGACATTTTGCATTCAGGTGAAGATGGGAGACTGGCATATGAACAGCTGGACAAATTTCCCCGGGAATTCGTGAAAGTTGGAGGCCGCCGTGGAACTGAAGCTGCCACAGCGTTTTAGATGGAGAAGAACCTGCCTACATTTTACAGGCATTAAAGCAGGATGGAGCTGCACTTCAGTGTGGGGAGCAGAAGGAAGACTTTGAAGAATTCTCTGAGAATGTCCCCAAATGTAGCAATTTGTAGACTTTTTAAGGAAAAGCAAAATCTAAAATCCAGCTTAAGGTTTCCTATTGGCTCCTCGTTGCAGCTCATGATGGAACAGTTGGATGCTGAGGAACAATACTTCCTTGACTGATTCGTAATAATGTAATTGCAGTTATTCAGCCTCAACAAACTTCTGTGAGGTTTTTAGAATTTGGGATCTTCATATATTTTCCTATTGCATTTACTTCCTTGAAGTTGTCGTGAAAGCTTGAGACGTGCGATACCATATCTAACAAGGACAATCAGGAGGTCACCTGAGCAGGACTGCAAAGAACCTTTCCCTTCCACCCCGAGCAAAGCACCTGCTGCCACGTAGTGTCCCCAGCAACACTCCAGTGGCAGGGAACGTTGCTCAGCTTTCTCAGTTGTGTCTTGGTAATGAAATATAGAGCAAGTTTCTTCGAGTTTTGCCTCCAGAAACAGCATGAAGTAAACCCTGGGAGGTGTCACTTTGGTGACTCACTCTAAATGCCTCCGCTGGTCTTTTATTCCCTTTCTCTTGCCCTTCAGCAACAAACCATCATTAATCCAGACATTTGTGAGGGGGATCAAACAATCGCGTAGGTTTCTGAAAACTAAATGAAAAGGTAAAGTGCATTTATTTATTCCGAGAAGAAGGAGTGAATACAGCTAATTGCAAGAGTCCCCAAAGCCCTGTAAAGGTCCTGTAAGTTTCAGGCAGGATTGGATTTCATACACTCTAATTAGTGGATCATAGTTGCTATAGAGTGGTTTCAATATAAAGAGCTAGAACAAACTAAAGTGGACCTTGGAGGCAATAACAAACAGAGGGTGAAGTGAATGCATCTCCCCCACACACACTGCGAGGATGAAAGGAGCGAGTGCTTCAAACTGTTGATTACGAGCCTTAAGTTAACAGAGGAGGTGAATAGAGTGTAACAGAAGAGTGTTCCTGTACTGTGTTCATTATGCATGAAATGCTATTTAGGTGTCAATTGAAGTATCCAAATTTGCATAGACGACATAGAAAATATTGCAAACAATTCACATCAAAAGGAAACCTTGTGAGCCAAACACATTGGCAGGCAGGGATCGTTTTGTTTTGGGTTTTTTACTGTGAATGTTACAAGAATGTACATATCTGTATATTTATAAATATATATATTCTTCCTTTAATTAAAAAAGTACATTTTGTACAGTGCAAAATGCTTACTTGTTTACTGAGGGATATAAACTCTTTTTGCAGAAGGTGAAATAACCACATTATGGTTTTTATACCACACCTGTCCCTTCAGTTGAATTCTTTCAAGGTGTCCTTTTGTATTGACTTCTGCTTTTTTTTTAAAATTTTTTTTCTTTTAGTTTTGTGGCATTTGTACTCACCATATTTCCTATCACATTTAAGTTATAATAAAGATTATTTTTTAATTACTAAGCACATCAGTCCATATGTACAGTCACTCTTTCTATCAGCAGCCTCTCCACTGTCCGGCTCATAGTTTTAAGTTCAGAGCAAACCAATTTTGTGTTTCATTCAAGGTTTTTACAAGAAAGGCTCCACAGGGACTAGCAGAAAATATGCTGAAGAGGCTCCAGGGTTGTTACCAAACTTGCACGGATTACTCTGCCCTTCTGTGAAAACAGACTCTCCTCAGAGAGCAGACACTCCTTTTCCTCTTACAAACATTCAAGGCTTATGGCACAGAGCTTGGGGAATGCAGAACTGCCTGTGGAGCAGAGAGCCAAAGCTGCAGAGTGAGGGGCAGCTCACATATAGAGATACTGTGCCAAATGGAGCTTATATCTCATCTCGTTGTAGTTTAAAGCCACCCTTTGAGAAGTTTATTAGCCTAAAGCTGATCTGATACACCACTAGAACCATTAAAAACCCTAAGACCCAGATAGGAAGGAGGCAATCCTGCTCTCAATAAAGTCATTGAGGAAATCCACAGGAATTTTAGTGGGAAGTTAGACCAAACTTAGTTCCTGTTGTGGTATCTGAGACTGCTTGAACCTGGGATATAGATATATAAAGGCTAGATTTCACTTTGAGCATTAAAACTCTTTTAGAAAACTAAGTAAAACAAAGAATCATGTTCTAACATGATTCATGACAGCCTTGAGAAAGTGAACAGACCTTAAAGCTTCCAAAACCAGAATGCAAATAAAAAGGAACAAACCATGGATTTGTCTCATAAGTTACACATTTTTATGCTTGCAGAGCTGACAACACTACATTTTCCTAGGACATTACTGCAAGAGTTCTCCTTTGGGGAGTAGGAAAAAACATGCACAGAGGTGAGTGTCACAAGACAGATGCTTACCAACTAGTAAAGAAGAAACCGGCAGGCAGTAATTACCTCTTTCTTAGGGCTGCAGCAGGTTCACTTCAGCAAATTTAAAAGTCTGGGCCACCCCAGAAAGGTATGTTAGGGAAAAGTTCCTGTACCAAAGCAGCTGAGCAGCAGTGCAGGCAGATGATACGGGGAGCTTGTCAGAAGTGTGCTTGGGAAAGAGGTTCATCCAGTGGTGGCTTGTCCTTACCTCATGCTTTTCATGAGTTACAGCAGTTTTCACTACCTTCTGCCATGCTGTTATTGCCTCTGTGTTTTGCCCAGTAGACAGAAACCTGCATACTACTCTAGCTACAGCAGCAGCATGTTAGGCTGCCCACAGTTTCACACTGTTTTGGGAAGACTCCTCCTGTACCTGGTGTACTTTCTGCTAAGGTATCCTCTACAGCTCTAGCCAACCCTGTGGTCCATTATATACACAGTAATGCTTGACTTTAAGCATTCAAAATTAGGAGTCAGTACAACTGCCAGACTCTGTATCTTATGTACGGCCCCATGCTCTGCTGATTTGCGATGGAATTATCCTGAGCCTAGGAGCCACAGCAGCCCTCATGGAATGGCTGCAGTGCCCCCGAGGGCACGACAGAGGTATCCCCACACCGAAGGGTTTGACCTTGAACACAGATTATCACATTTCAGCACAGGCAGTTGTTGGCAGACTGACAAACAGCAGCAAATTAAGGTTCCTCAAAACACCATGATCATTTGCTGCACTACTTTGTGTTATTACAAGAATGAAAAGAGAAACATACAACACATAGTAAACTTTTCTGCTGAAGAAAACGTTGATGATGACAATACACTCTTAAGAACATCGGAGCACTGGCAACACACAGCCTTGGCAGATTTGCACATCTGCTCAAAATCTCAAATCCAGTTCCTAAAACAACCTGAGATGGCCCTTGGGGAAAAGTAAATGAAGATACATTGTGCTTCCTTGAAAAAATTGATGACCAGCTTCATTACTTATGCAGAGGCTGCAACAAAAGCTGCAACACACAACAATGCTGCAGGCCCTCATGTAAGCAATCCAGTGCCAAACACCAAGTGCACTTCAGCTGCCCAGCCAAGTAGCTATTCTCCACATCTTGTCTTAAATACAATGGGTATTTACACTAAAAATTGTTTTTTTTGCTAAACCAGTTATGAGTTCTTCCTCACACAAACCATCCACCTGCCCCATGGTTTGCTTGCCACTGCACAGCTGCTCCTTCTTGAAACATTTCACACACGCAAATAACCCATCGCCCCACACATTACTCTTGCATGTTTGCAATTCTGTCCTGCTCAAAAATGCACATTTCATGGGAGAAGTGCCAGGACAGAGTAGATCCATCCCAGTTCTGAGCAGCCTTAGGATACTTCAGTGAAAGATAAGGTTGTGTCTATACCCTCTGCAATGAAAAGGAGTCAGCATGCTGGTTAAACGGGTGCACAAAAGCATCTAGGACTTCTTGGGAGTCACATTTGGCAGCTAAGTTCCAGAACTGCTAATTTTATTGTGCTAGATAGAATGTTCTCTGTAATTTTGCTGGATACAAAATTTGTCTTTAGTGATGTTGATTTTTAGATGTTACATAGCTATGTTCCAGTGGTGAATGAGTTTCCCTATATCCTTAAACAAAAATAAAATGTCAGATGGCTGTGAGAACTAATCACACAAATCTCTGTATAATTTCTACACATTTGCCAAGCCTTTCACACCTGCATACAAAATTCCTAGTTACTATGTAACATAGTACTGCTGCATGGATGTTTAACAAGCACTCGGGAATTTTCAGGACAATAGATGAAACTTGACCCCTTTAGGATATTTTTATCAGCAATTAATTCAGCATTGTAAAACTTCTGACGACACTTTCATACATTAATTGATCTGATGTAATAGGCATAGGCAGTGTTTGATCAAGGTTCAATGCAACTGTGACAAAGACAGAGCATCTATGTGGGTTTTGTTCTGATCTCACACCTGGTCTTTTCCTGCAGTATGTTTTTTTTCCAGTTTATACAGCAAACTATTATCTCTGCTCACAAACTCCAGTTAACAGAAGCATAGCAGCCTTGGTTTGAAGTATTAGTATGTATTACTGAGTGGCACAGGCCTTCTCAATGCAGAAAGTTATTCTACTAGAGGTAGGCCAAATGCTAATAAACATCCATCAGCTTAAGTGAAGAACTTCCATGATTTACTCCATACACGATTTCAGCAGCATTAAGGATCCAGCTTCTCAAGGGACTGTCTTATCTTTGTTATTTAAATAAAATCAATCCAGAAAAAGCACAAGATTTAAATTTTAACAAGTATTCTTTTTGCTGAAGAGACAGATGCAGATGCTGCACAAATTCTGGACTCATTGCTTTCTGGCAGTTCCATGTTCCCACAGCAGCACTTGCATTACAGCAGTGCACAGAGCTGGAGGTGAAATAGTGGAAAAGTTACACTTGCTGTCTCGGTTGGATTGGTCTGCCTGACCTGCTAGTTATCCCACAGTGCTTTCTTCCCTTCTACAGTCTCTGCAAATGCAGTATCGCTGATGTTTAAAAATAAAGCCACCTCTGAAACAAGTTATTGTTAACTATGAAAAACTAAATTGCACTGCATAAAAACTATTATATCAAAATAAATTTTGTGTTTCCTTGTTTACTATCGTTGAACTACTTTGCCGAGAAAGTTGCTTAGAACCTGAGATAGGAGAGGTCAAAGTCACTTGAGTGTGTTACCCATTTCTCTTGAACAGAAAACCAAGGTTGCTGTACAAAGCAATTACCCTGCGTCCAGCTGTTTTCTTTTTTCTTAGACACAGCATCAGTGCAAACTAAAGGACACACCTTTATCACCTTTGCTGCACTGTGATGGAAGGGAGTATGTCTAAGCATCCTCTGGAGCAGAAACTGGAAGTCGTGACCTTTTGTTTACAAAGTTCCCAAGAAAATGCAATGCCTCCTTTTTTAATTGCCATACTTGAGGTAAAATGAAAGGCATTACTTCCTACAATGGTTTGATATTCCCTGATGTCACAACTGAAATCAGCTGCAAAACATCTGTTAATTTACCAACTGCCATAGGGAGTAAGATACTGAGGAATCTAAAGGTGCCAATCTGATAGCTCCAGAGACTCCTTCATGCATACCTTGAAGCAACAATTCTGGCAAGGCCTGATAGATCTATGAACCAGGACCCCTCTGATAATCTCTGCCTCCTGAAAGCCACTCAGCTTTAAGCTCTTCACAAGATAGTGCAATGGCCACCGTTGTTAAAGCCTTGTTACAGAACCAGTGCTGAGTTCACACAGGACTGGAAAACCTGTATCCAACTTACTCTCTGGCCCCACCCAGGCCCATACAGGTGTCAGATAAGGTGCTCAAGGTTTTAGAGACTGGTTTTTGTCCTGTAAACCCTTAAGACCATCACTAACATGGTAAAAAGGTGCCTCATTTCTTGGTAAATATCAGAGCAGTACCTTGAAAACAGACACAATTTCCTTTTGGAATAGCTCAAAAGAGCTGAAAACTGCCCAGGCACTCCCTAAAAAACTTGAAAGCTTTCTACAGCAGTCACAATCGACTTAAATCCTAGAATGCCTATTCCACACTCAATTAATTAAGAGGCTGTTTGGTAAGACAAAGATTTATTTAACAATTTTCATGGATCATGTCAGACCAACTGATAAGGTATTTACACAACAACTGAAATACACAGTATTTGCATTTCATACAAGCAACTACATGCAGCCTGTAGTGAATTTTCCATGCAGTATCCAGATACTCCCACTGCTACATAATTACAGTTAAAAAACAACATCTGTAATGCTCCCACAGGAGTTTCTATACCTGAGAATGTTTAGTACATCCTTTCCAAGAGGAAGTCTGCAATTAAAAGCCACATACATGAGCCAATTTAAAGGTTGTCATTCCAGTTGCAAATGGTTTGCTTCCTTTGAAGCAAGACCTGATACATTCTCCCCTAAGCCAGAGGGCACTTGTGATGGCCCTCCTTCAGAAGAGCTGTCTGCTTCATCTCCACAGTTATGCTCTTCTTGTTTGGGTTCCTCTAGAGCCAGACTCTCCAGTGTCTCAAGATTGTCAGGTGCTTGCCCAGTTAGTCTCTACAAAGAAACAGAAGACATTGAACTTAATACTTTTTCGACTTAATAACCAGTGAAATGATACTGTGCATATTGAATTAAGCTAATTAACTTCATTTGGAGGCTGTTGATGTAATTAGAACATTCCTCAGTCACAAAAATCTTAAAGACACTGAGTTCAACTCAAATTGTTACCTCTAACTCACAGACCATGTTTGCTTTGTTGACTGTTAAGTTTTTCTTAGGTTCTTCAGTAGGACAGATTTTAATCTCAGGCAATCTAAAATAAGGGAAACTGCTTCCCAACTTAAATATTTACTATGGTACCACATAGGTTTAATTTTAGAAAAATTGCTGTGCAACCAATTAAGTCCATAATTTTTAATCAGAAAAAGTGAAGTTACCTTAAGTCTAGATAACTAGAAGACCCAGCAGTTTCTAGCATTTAATCAAACTACAAGTTGCTCACCCCTAACCTCATCTCAGGAAGAAAATAAGGACAGGAAGAGGCTGTATTTGAGGCTTCTGATTGTTTGATCTATCACTTTAGGTTCCTTAAAGCCTCAGAAGTGAACAGCTCACAACTAGCAAGTGAACTTAACTGTTGAGGAACTGTAGAGAAGTTTCCAACTACATCAGTTCAAGTTCTCAAGTAATTTAATTTCTGCTTGTGGCTTTACCACTAACAAGCTGTACTCTCTGGATACCAAACAAATTCAAGTGCAGCAAATTAGTGGAGTTTTTCAAGACTGATCTAAAAAAACTAGACTGACTGAAAATTAAATTGATGAAGTTTACTTCTTGATTAATAAAGTTGCTTGCAGTAGTATTTCATTTTGCTTCCACCTCCACAGTCTAGTCATCACATAATCAAAGTATTTGCCAGGCACTCTGTTTCATATACCAGCTGAGAGCTTAATCCCTGCAAAAACAACCTAGCTGATAGCCATGGGACCTTGATGTTAAAGTTATCTATTTATTACAGCTTCAGAGGCTGTTACAGACAATCCAGTCCTGGTAGAGGAGCCATGGAATTAGTGACACAACTACCTGTCCCCAGGGAGTTCTCAGAGGGAGCTGTTATGAGATTTACAAGTTAATGAACCCTACAGACTTGGTGCATATTTTGTGGGCCATGAAACAGGCAATGCTTCAGTGAGACCTTGATGTTAAAGAGCATAGTGCTTCCTCCTCCCTCTCACTGCTCTACTTTGTGTCCCCGTTTCAAGTTCAGTTCCTCCAAGGACACAGCCAGTACAAGCACTTCATTTAGCCAGCAGCCTCACACAACCTATACAGCACATGCACCTAAGTCATCTCAAAGTGAAAATGAACCTTTTCTTCCCTTGTCACCACCTTCAACATGCAAACCCTGTTCTGTTAAGAGAGTAGATAGAATCTCCCCATCAGAAAATATTAAATGTGGCACTTTCATTACTTCTGTAGGTGCTAAGGTGGGAAAAACTCATCCCCTAGAAGGAGCTTTCTGCTCCTAGGATTAGAGTAATCCTGCAGGAAACAGGTCAGACAGCAATTTAAAACAAAGAGTCATGTGAGCACACAAACCAGAAGTCATGATTCATGACAAATAGTACTGCTGTTTATGGTTTTCATTCTACAACATTAACTGAAAATTGCTTTAAATACCTCAATCACACTGGTCATGTAATGCACATGCTCAGCGAGGGCCATGAGCTCTTCGTTTTCTTCTCTTAGGCGAGCAATTTCAGTGTCCTTCTGTTCTATCTCCTTGTGCAACTGAGTTCAAACAGCAGAAGTGTTAGAAGAGGAAGACAATAGCCAGTGCAGAAGTAGTTAGTTATCTGTCAGTAGGTACCTTTTCATTTTCTTGAAGCACTTCATACAGAGCCTTCCTCCTTTCTTCAGCCACTTCTTTCCAATACTGAGGTGAAGGACTTCCTGAAGTTAAGAAGCTACAGTAAGTCTGTGCTAACACTGAATTCTCAGATCACCTTAGGATATTGAACTTGTACACAAGTGTTCTGTGAGCTGTGATATTCAGAACTCGCTCCATATAGCTTTTTTGGACATCAGCTGTAAAAGTACAACTAGTGGCATAAGCTGACAGGAAACAGATCTTACACTGCATGAATAGCTATACAGACAGCATCTTCAGGAAGCTGCCTCAAGCATGGCAGCAGGCTCTGCAAGATGGTCACATTTGCAAATGTTGGGCCTCAGTGTGTACTTAGCGGAAGACAGAAGTCTTATTCCCAAGCCAATGGCCATACTGGGCATAATGGTTCTGAGAAACTGTGCATACAACACTCGGTGCCAGAACAGCCTTTAATTTCAACTTAATTACTAGTCACTTGAAAACTTGTAGTTCAGCCAAAGTAACGAACTACAAGACTTCTTAACACTGCTGCACACAATGGTTCCCAGCTACTGGCTATCATAAGCTTGTTCTTAAACATTAGCTATCTATACTGTATTTACTATACCAGAGAGGATAAGTATCATCAGTTCCTGCTAGGCATTACAGAAAACCACAAAACCCTTACCTAAATGAGAGGAACCATGTTTCAAGTTGTAGTCCAACAGCAGCATAGCATTTTATGTGCATGAAAACATCTCAGGAATTACCACATACCTTTCATGAGATCTGCAGCTTGAATGATATCATTCTCATTTTCTTGCTTGTCCACAGACACCTCAGCTTTACAAGCCTTTGAGGTAAACTTGTTATTCCAGAGTTGCCTTCTGACTGAAGATTTCTTCTGCATGAAACACAGGCAAGTTTAACTTCAGAGCAACATTTCAGCTTTTATAAAAACACAGACTTCCAAGTCTGCTTACTCATGACTGCAAGTAAGACTTGAATTCCACTTTTTTCACATTGTAGTTCTAGTTTACAGACATCTTCCTTGATGTCTGTTAACACTTAAATAAATTTAACAAAAGAAATGTCTCAGAAATTTTCCCAAAGGACTCAGAAATTGCTGGGGTTTAATATAGTTTGTTACTAAAATAATAGTAAATTCAAGTTGTGCCACACTAGTTAGCAGATTACATTTTTTTTCAAATAGATTAGTTTTTAGTTAGAAGCTCAAAAGCATTTCACCATGAGTAGAAATAATTACACATCTACAGATGATCTATTAGTTCATACCTCATTACGTCTGCCAACCAGGCTACCTGCTGCTGAAGGCTGAATCATTTTAAGAATCCGTCTCTGGTCAGCAGCTCCTGTGTTATCTGTGAGGTACTTCTTAAAAAAAAAAAAAAAAAAAAAAGGTTCAGACTGTTGCCACTCTTCTTTACATAAACCGAATATTAGGCATTTGTCATGCTTCCATTAAAATAACCCACAGTTCATCTTTGCAAGACAAAGGTTGGACACTATAGCAAGCTTATACTGAGGCTTTTGCCAAGGAGATCTAGTTACTTGTAGTATAGATAGATCTTAATCACATTCAAGCTTATACTGAGGCTTTTGCCAAGAGATCTAGTTATTTGTAGTATAGATAGATCTTAATCACATGAAGCTATTCTCAGTCCCTGCCTCTTAGAAAACACTCTCCATAAAGGAACTTGAACAGGCCTTATAGCAGAAATATTCTGACTAAATTTCAAAGCCAGTTACAGTGAAGTGACATATGTAAACTTTAGCTGAAACACTCAAACTTGTGTTTGAGAGCACCAGTATTAGACCTTTGGGGACAGAGACAAAAGTGACTAAAATTGCAAAGTCACACACATCACTTCAGACAGTACCTGCTTCTGCTACCCGTGAACACACCCTCAAGTAGTGCTCATTTAAACAGAAGAGTTACTTAGAATATCCATTAAAATCTATCTAAACTTCTTTGCTTCAATCCAGGCAGTCTATTTTTTGTCTAACCAGTAAGTTTATCACTCTTCCTATCACGCATAAATACCTATTTCCTGCATTAAAGCTTTCTGATTGGGTTGGTTACACTGCCACCATGGGACAGCAAACAATGGCAGACAACCAAGCAAGAATAGCCAGAACACAATGCCACAGCAGCGTGAGAAAGTTACCGATTCACACTGTACTTCAGAGGACAAGAGTTCGCCTTTCCCACGGTAGTTTCTGCCACCAATTATCCCACTGCTCAACTAAAGGACAAACACTAACTGCTGTGGGAACAAGAATCACACCGTGTGTCAGACACGCTGTTATTGAAGGTTAGAGTTAACTGCACTCTGCCAAGAAATTATTGACCAATACTTGAGTTAACCCATTGAAAGTGCCAACAACCACACCGAGGAATTTATACCCTAGAGACATTATGGGACAAGACTGTCATGTGTGTAAATCACACTTATCAACTGGCAATTTCCATTAATCCCAGAAGTTTTCATCACAATTGCTATGCCTCAGGATGACTAACAGCCTCTATTACATATGGTATTTGCAAAATTCTGATTAGAGCCTACACTGAAAGGTTTAACAAGAACAGGTATAAACTTTAGTAACTTATCAGTCAGCTCTTAAAAACTGAAATCCTTTAAGCATTTCCACCAATTCTAAGGCAACCATGACCCATGAGGGTGACTTTAGAAACCAAACCACCTGCTTGAATACTTCAGTTAAAGCATGCTCCGGTCAAAACATACTTAACTCTTTGTTAATTCATACCTATAAAGGACAGGCTACAGAACCTACTCTACAACCCTTTTAGCAGCTAGACTGATGCAGCAACCAAAGCAAGGCAGGCAGCCAGGATCAAAAAAACACCCTAAAAACATCACATGGAGAGACAGTAAGCTCAGTGTCAAAGTAAAAAGGACTTGTTGAACAATAGGGGAAAAAAAAAAAAGGAGTCATAAGCACATATGCCCAACCAGGACAGCATGTTCCCAAACCACACTGCCTGCCAGGAGGATACTCAAGCCAGGTGGACACTGCCAACAGATCCCTTTGTACTCCTCGCGTCAGGCAGAGGTACCAGCTTCAAGACTTCAAAGCCTATACCTCCGAAACTCCTGATGATGCCTCCGCGCTCATTTTGGAATTCAAAGGACCACTGCAAAACAAAAACAAAGTACACAGAACTTAGTAACATTCGGCTGCGACTGAAGTTCGGGGACGCTAGTTAAGAGAACACGACAATTTCGTTTTATCAGCTTTTACAGCAGCATGAAGCAGTGGGTCACTCCCAGCGTGGCCAGCAGGCTCTTCCCTCGCGTGGTTCCGCAGCCACACACGAGCAGGGAAGGCGCTAGGCAGGCGGCGCCGACACCAGCATTCCCACCCGGACGGGAGGATGCCCCAACCTCCCCACCAGGACGGGAGGGGATGCCCCAACCTCCCCACGAGGACGGGAGGCT